TTAATTGTACCATAAAGTGTTTACAGATTCACCAAAGCTTTAAGAAAGAGGTAGTAGGCAAAAATTTATATTTTTGTTCAAGAATGGTCCGGGACATTTAAAGTGATGGACACGGACACAGACACGGACAGTCCCGAACCAGACAGTCTGTGTCCGCTGACAACACTGGTGATGATGATGAGGGTAGCAATAATGTAAAGGAGAAGGTTAGTATGATTTTATCTTTAGCAATATATTATGTTTGGAAAAAAACTTGGATTAGGGCATAAGTGTATAATTGAATGACATGTACAAGCTATTAATATATAAATGATGGAAACAAAATTTCAGGAACAAAATCCAAAAAGATTTTATATCTACAAGATGATGACAAAGATGACAAAGAAAATCGCAAAAAACCTAAAGTAATTTGCTCATTTCATCTTTATCTTACATTTTAAATCAATCACATACTTAAAATATTTGATTATTAACAAAAAAAGGGAGAAATTATGAACCGGACAACTGAGAGTCATAACATTTAACAAATAAACTTGATGATCAGGACCAGGAAGTAAATGATGTACATTTTCAATATATTTCTTTTTTTTTTTTTTGGAAATTATGGACTAATACACTGATGATTATTTTGTCAGATCAAAATCCAAGGTATTCTCAATAAGGAAATACATATTGATAGCATAACTAAGGATACTTTAAACATTTTTAAAAATTTCAAGAACAGAAATCAAGATCCTTTGGCACTAAAAGGAATCATGGATATGACACCTAAAAGTTTTTTTGACAAAACAAATTCCTGATAATCTTTATAATTCATATCTCTTGTCATTGGATGATTTTGACCATTTGATTCCAGAAGAAACTCACAATTTCGTTGTAACATTCTTTGGACAAGTAAGGAATTGATTATTATTAGCAAGGAATATATTTGGCAATATTATTTACTTTATTAATAAAAATTTACCAGTTAGGCCTTTTAGCTTCAAAATTAACAAATCAAAATGAAAATTTTACAAAGCTACTTTATTGATTACATTCTAGTTATTCACACTTATCGCATATAGCATTTTCATTATATAATTTTTTTCAAATTGGATATAGTAAATTGCTAAATTTTCTTTGTCTAAATACTAAGTTGCTTCAGCTTCTAATAATGCTTTCTATTTTATTTTATTAAGAAAAAAATTTGTTTTCAGGAAATTTTGAGGAAAAGTTTGTTTTGTAACATCTTCAGATCTTTTACCATCATTAAAACTTTCTGGATTATTGATGACATGATTAATATATCTTAAGCCACAAAGACCTTGACACATATTCATATTTTTACTTGAGCTTTTTTTTGACAAATGGTTGTTCACAAAAAATTGCAATTTTTATCTTTAAGATCTTTTCTTTTGATTTCAGTTTCTCTTGTCCCTTCTTATTAGTTGTTGTAGTTGTAGAATCACCTGCTGCTGTTTCCTTTTCTTCTTGTCACAGCATACTGTTGATAATTGCTTCCAAGTGAAGTAAATAATTTTTAACGAGGATTGTAAAATTTTTTGGTTTTTATTTTTTTTTTTAAAAAAATCAATTAATAAAACAAATATACATGATAAACCGATGTATTATCTACTTGTTAAATTTATCTCTGTAAGCCGATTTTATTAAGGTTTTTTTAAACCGAAGATTTTCTTTTTGTGAAAACATTGACTTTGATTAAATTTCGTAAATAATTCGGCTACTACTACTGATTTCATAAACATAATAATAATATTATTATTAATATTAACTGTTATGCTGTGGTTATTCAAATTTTTACACCACTCACCTAATTTCTTGCCAAGCCAATGGCAACCCACGACTCAGTTAAACTGTTTTATAGTATATAAAGATTGGATAAACTTTGACTTTCTGAATGTTAAGTCTTAATTTTTTACCTTTATTATTATGTTGTGAAATTCACGCAAATTGGCCAATCAGAATTTTGTATCCAAATTACATAGGCAAACTGAAGGTAATTGTGCAGGAACTTTTCTTCGGTTTTTTTATAATCCGAAGTTATTATTAGAGTCATAAATTAATTCGGACAAACGAGGTAATAAATTTAAAAATTTAGGATTTATAATTTCCTTTATCCATTTTCTGGCAGTGAATTGATTTAGATTCAATGATAAAAATAATCACTCTTTTTTAGAACTTCAGAAACAGTAGATGCAAGCTGGTTATTTTTTATGTTTGGGTCTTTATTTTTTTCAATGCATATTTCTATTTTTTGTGAAATTGTTATAGACATATGTTTTCTTTTTGATGCCCCAACTTCTTTTTCAGTAGATTTTTTTTTTTCTCTTGTTTGCACTAGGGGAAGTCTACCCTGGTTATTAAACTTTTGTACATGTTGTGCGTGAAAATGAAATTTATGTGAACATATTCAAATTAGCCAATCAGAATTTCATATCCAAACGCTCCATCCCAAAATTTTTCAATTTTCACAACTCAATAAGTCGGATGCAGCAATCAATTGTTTAAAGTACTTTATAATATAAATAAATGTCCGACTTATCAAGTTTAGATGTTACAACATTTGTGTAACTTGTATATTATTATTATTGGCCCAATTTTATTTCACTTCAGTATTAATCTTCGATTTATAAAAAATTCGGATTAACGGAGCAACTTTTACATATAAATGGCTTCAAAAAAATTAAAAATTTCTTCGGTTTACAGTTTATAAAGTTTTATTAGTGACATTCATATCAACAGGGTAATTTACATATGTTTGGCTTTGGTGTTTTAAAAATTATTCATTTTAACAGGGTTTTCGGATTAACGGGGTTGCCTATGTATAAGCCATTCATTAACTGAAAACTACTACTATTTAAAAATCTGAAATTTTTATTTTAACAATCAGATACATTGATGCACGAGTTCTTTGTAATGAATAATTACATATCCAATTACGGTTTTTAAACTTTCTTCCCGCAATAGTGATTAATTACTATTACTATTACTATTACTATTACTATTACGGATTGGTAAAACCGCAACTCCATAATAGTAATAGCAATAGTAATAATTACGGAATTACGGAGCCAGCCATTACTACAATGATAATAATAATAAGCATAAGGTCATATAAGAGAATACATGGATATGTTCAGGAATTATTTTGAATTACATGTGACATGCTTCGCCAAAACTTTAGCATTCATGGTGATGATCGTCGTCAAAGTAGAGAGGGGTCGTACACTGAATATTCATTTGGGGCATACTGCAACAAAACCAGACAAAGTTGTCTAGATTTGTTGCAAGCATGCCCCATTTGATCATGAATGATTATTCATTAAATTTATTAATCATTTTACATTCTACCAAAATTATCAATCAAAAAAACCATAGTTTTGTTCTTTTGGAATTTACAGCTTGACTAAATAATCCCTCTCACTTGGAGCGGACGTTGCAGGCGCACATAAACGTTTAGGCAAAGCCAGAGATTTATTTTTATTATGTAGAATGGATCATCTTTCAATATCCAACTTGGCTCCTTAAAACCACCCTTTACTTTGCTTTTCTTCAAAATACGAGCTGCAGAAGCTTTTTTCCTCTCGTTATTGTATTATTACTTTTCCTATTATAGTGATTGAGTGTTTTTCTTCCATTTTAAAAATGAATGGAAGTGGAATAATTAAACAACAAATGAATTAAATTGTACATGAGAAAATTCATTTCAATTCAATCGGTTATTTACTGAATATTCACTCTTTAATTTATTATATTCGGTTAGTCAATCAATGAAAAAAATCAAATATCCTCATTTTTGGTCTTATATTTCCATTTTTGGAGGAATTGATTTACCTTCCAGTGGCGCATAATTTTTGAAAATCATGCACATTCGAAATTAAGTGCAACTATTTTTTTTCCTTTATAACCTTTATTACAAATATTTGGTTACATTTGGAAAAACTAGACGTAGTGACTAAGTTTCAACAAAAATAAATAAAAAAATGTAAAGATGATGTATTATCCTCACCCTCACCATTAAACTTAAAAAATCGATCATTAATATTAAACGATTTTATGCATAAAAAAAATTTGCAAAGTCAATTCTTTCTTTATCAGAATTAACATGAATGAAATGATAATGCTATTGAAGCCATAACGGTGATAGTGAGTGATAGTTCTGATGTCTAGAATTTTGCAATACTAATTGTAACACACACATATATTTTAATAAGATTATTTTTGTTAATACCTGTCCTATATAAGAATAGCTTGAACATCGGATCTATCCATATTCTGTGGCGTTTAGTGCACCGCCATCAATCCATCACATGAGATCAGGAAGTTTGTATATATAAAAATAGAATTTTATTTACTTAATATAATTTTCCATAAATAAACAAAATTTAATCAATTACTACTTGGTAAAGTTCTAGATTTTTTTAACACTTTGATGGTAGGCAGGCGGATATATAATAATAATAATAAGAATAATAATAATAATAATAATAATAATAATAATAATAATAATATAATAGATAGATAGATAGATGGCTTTAATGGTCAACGAACGATTTTAGAAATATTCAACCTAAACCGCAAGACAAATGTGACTGACCTCTCACAAAACTTGGCATCTCAGACGCCTTTTAGATGTGCACTTGCAATTTCACCATTGACAAATGGAACTCATTATATACTAGAAAAGTATATTACAAGAGTCGCTTGCGACTTCGTGTTTACACCTGAGATACCTTATAGGCTGTCTATTACTATGTAGGGGTATAGGTTCAATGCGAGAGAAGTTTGTTAAAGGAAATTAATTGTGATACAAAATTAAAAATCACGTCCAATGATCTTTAATTGTTACATTACACAACTGGAAAGGATCATAATTGTTGTTATTGCTATGGAGAAGATCTGTGGCGACAAACAAAACAATATTAACGTTTTAGGATATTTGAAGACTAACAATGGACAAATAAAAAAAAAAAAGTGCAATTTCGAATTTTAGTATTTCCATATTAATATATTTTAATTGGATTAATAGATTTACAAACAAAGTTCACACAGTTCCATTTTTCGGCCGTTAAAGGCGAATTAAAAAAATATATATTTAGCGTTTTTTAATATTTTAAGGAAAGAAGAATTTTAATTATTCCCGTTTCGAATCTCCCGAAAAAAAAAAAAAAAACTATCTTTTTGGAAAATAAAAAAATTTAAAAATATATATATATATATATAGCATAAAGGTTTGATTTTTCAATAAAAAAAGGAATTTTCCTATCGAAAAATTTAATTTTATAAACCAGTAAAATTTTATTCGCTAAGCGAAAATTTAAAAATACTTGCCAATAACAACCTTTTGCAATAATTTAAAGAGTCAAAATGATGATGGCATCTTTAACCACAATAACACCTTTCGAATCACCATTTCAATCAAGAAATCCATCAACAACAAATCTAAATACAATTTCAACAAATACATCAGAAATCTCATTTATTAATATAACCCCTGATGAAATTATAAATTCTATAAATTATTGTAATGATTCTGATGATGGTAGTATTCATAAATTAAAAAGCAATGATTTAGAAATAAAGCTAGTCGAACCAATTGTATTTTTTAGAGATGTACCTGAAGAAGCTGTTGGATCTATTTTAAGAGGTGAATTAATATTACATTTAAATAAGCCTACAAAAATCAAAAAATTAGAAATGAAATTTGTTGGAACTACCAAGGTTTTATGGTCCGGAGGTAAATATTAATGATGGTAGATGATAATTATCAGCATTGATTACATAAACCATCATCATATTAATGAATTATTATTATTATTATTATCATCATCATCATCATCATTGTAAAAAATAGATAAAAAAACAGTCATAGAAGAGAGAGAAGTTTTTTCACATAATTGGAAATTTATTACTGCAAACAAATCACCACCCACATCTTCAACTTCTTCATTAAATTCACCATCATTTAATAAATTTAACTTTTTAAAATTCAATAAAAAATTTCACAGCGACAGCAGTAATAATGATAATAACAGTAACTTATTACAAATAGGAGTTTACACCTATCCATTTGAATTATATTTACCGGGTCATTTACCAGAAACATTAAATACAGATTTAGGTTCTGTAAATTATTTTTTAACAGCCAAAGCCATTAGATCTGGATTAAAATCAAATTTAAGGATAAAACAAAATATCGAAATTTTACGTACAATACCTGATCATATAAATTCTCAGGGAATTGGATTTGCAAGAGATTTCAATGATTTACTATCATACGAAATATCCTTACCAAAAAAAGCCTTTCCACTTGGTCAATCAATACCAATCGACATGAAGATTTGTCCAAATGTTAAAAAATTAAAAGTCAAAGGTGTCAAAATTCAGATAATTGAAAAAACAACTTGCACTTCAAAAGGCCAAAACTTTACTAATACAAGGATTCCTGTCACGCAAGAATTACCTTATTTTGGTAAAGAAACATTGTTAGAAGATCAGGAAGATGGCGATGTTGGAAATGTCACTTATCAACAAATAATGGATGTAAATTTGCCTGTTTGTTCAGAACCTGTGCATTATTCTTGTTCGACTTCTTTAATAAATGTGTCGCATGATTTAAAATTTTCTTTTGCAATCACTTTACCACAAGATCCTCCAAAGAATGCAGAGCTTAAACTAAATATCCCAATAACATTATTATCTTGTAAGGCAATTGGTGATTTTATAGCTTTACCAAATTACGAGGACAATGATTTTTATTGTCCTTGTAACCCTGCATATCAAAGAACGGCAACAATTGCGTCGAATAGTAGTTATAATCATATCAATAACAACAACAACAATGATAATAATAATCAACAACATTATTTAAATATACCTCCATACAATTACTTATTTAAATCACCACCTAGTTACGAAGCATCAATTTCTGGTGATTTATAATTTTTTTTTTTAATTTTTCAAAGAAATATAACATTTATTTAAAGATTAATCTTTCTTTTTTTAATTTGTTAAATATATATATTTGTAAATAATATTAGATAGTTATTAATTAAAAAACATTATGTGATATTATAAATTTTTTTTATAAATATGCACAATATTCACATTTATTTTATACAACACTTTATTATAATAATTCAATTAAAAAAAAACAAAATTTTTTATATTAAAGAAATTTGTTTAGAAATTTTTCTTATTTACATCATTTGAAAATTCCGAATAATTTTTTATCTGTCGTGTACGCCGATTTATAACTCTTTGATATTTATATGTAAGATTTACAATATCCTAAAGAGAGATAAATAATAATGTAATATTATTAGTATTTAATAATAACAATGATATTATTGTTGTTTATTCAAAATACCTTTAAAACAATAAATAAACATCCACCAATTATATTACGATGAAAACTGTCGGGTATCCTTGAACGGATAAATGAGAAATGGCCAAGCAAACTATTTAATAATAATAAAGATTTATGAACTTTAGATTATGACTATGATTATAAAAATTATAATTATCTTACCCTCCAACCATGGCCGAAATAACTGTATATTAAATTATTAAATTATTAAATTATAAAATATATGTCAGTCTGTTTTTCTTAATCTTTTCGTGTTTGGAGAAAATAATTATTACTAACATGGTAAAAATAATGCTCCAACAATTTTACGTCCTGCATTATTTCTATCCAAATGATCTGACATATCTTGATCATATTGCTGTTGTACATTATTATTATTGTCATCCTCTCCATTTTCGTTTTGTGTTGAAACTGTGTATGGTTCGATCTGTCTTCTCCAGTTTAATTCCATCCTACCAAATAAATATTGATACGTCCAATTATATATTATCCTGATCCATGGTAAAAATGAAATCGTGAGTGACGGATTTGGTGGCATTGTCATTCTCAAATGATTCATCCTAACTAAAAACATTGGGATAAGTGGCATAACTGGATCTGCAATACGAGCTCTTGAAAATATAAGTAAAATTGGTACTAAAGGGAGAGAAACCTATATACGTACATACATACATTATATATTGATTGAAATTGAAATGCCTTTAAAAAAATTATCTTATCACTCAGAAATAAATAAATTTGTTTGTTTTAATTATTTACATAAGTCCTCCAACTCCATGGTTCATTTAAAATATGGTGACCATTTTCAAGACCAAGCATTGTGACCATTGCATATGCTCTACAAAAAAAATTTAATTTTTAATTTTCAAACATTGAAAAATAATAGTGGTAAATTGTTTAATAAGAAAAATTGATAATACCCATAATGAACATTTGTAATTACTACTGCAAAGGTTAAACCAAAAATTGTGAAATATGGAATTGATGCTTGAATTGAATTATCTACAAATGACATTACTCTCAATATAAGAGGAGTATGTTCGTTTAAACGATATAGTGCTTTGCATTGTGGGCATCTAACCTATATATATATATTATTAATTAGTTGAAAATAATAAAAATAATAACAATATTATTACTGCTGTTATCGTTCATTATATTATATCCTGTTATATTATTAGTATCATTAATATTATTTTATTACTTAATTATCAAAGGAATATATTTAACCTTTCCAAGAACCGCACTTTTTTGTTTTTCTGTAATCCAATTCAACAAACACTCTTCATGACATATTAAAGAACATCTACAAGGTTTAACCCACTTTCCAATACTATCATTCTCCTCTCCATAACAAATCCAGCACCTTCTTTCCTCTGTATTTTGAGTGTCTGATTGTATAATTGACGAGCTCGTTGAAGCTTCATTCAAGTCAATAAAAATGTCTTCACTAGAAATAGCGACAGGCTGATCTCCTTCTTCTCTATGTAAAGGTTGACTTTCTCTTATCACAGATTGAGAATTAATAAATTGAAAAGAACTATTCATTCGGTGTTGAAAAGTTGTTGTGTTAGTATTTTCAAGATCTTGTTGAAATTCAATTCTGTTCAACTGATCAACAGGTGGATGCATTTGTTGAACTTGATTAGGTGGTTCATTCTGACGATTTACAAATTGAGCAAAGGGTGTGGCCATATTTCAAGAAACTATGTTGAAACAGCTAACTGTTTTGTGGAATAGAGAGAGTCGGAATCAAAATCAAAGGAATATTTTTTACGTTCACGCCGATCAGTGGGGCAAATTTACAGGGGGTCGCTCATATGGGGATGCTGTAACATTATTATGTCACAGGATCAGTATACGGGACGCGGAAAATAGAAACAGCCCTAATACTAATATGGTGCAAGTCACTTAGTCCCACAACTTTTATTGGTCGTGTAAATTTTCAAATTCTCCAAAAATGGAAATGCAACACCCAAAATAAATCGTGTATATATTTGAAGCCAAGACCTTTCACGAGAATTTGAGCTTCAAAGTTGCACAAGTTTACCGATTTACTATGTTTAGCCCTAAAATGACGTGTTACACACAAAAAAGTTTATCGAATTGAAACAAAATAAAAATTTGAAAAATTTCCCTTATTGCAAATCTTTTGTCACGTGAATTTTCCAGATGAACGGGAAGTGAATTATATAGTTCACTCTCTCTATAACAAACTCTCTGTCCCTATATGTAATTTCTCTGCTTTTGGTCGTTATAGAGAGAGAAATTAATTATAAAAAATTGAAACGGGGACAAAAGGGAAGTTTGTTATAAAGAAATTTTACTTAGTGGGTATTTGGGAATGTTCAAATAAATTTAAAAATAATGTTGAACTTGAGACCGCTTTACTTGAAAAATGGAATCAAATTCCTAGAAATATTTATATGAATTTGATAGAAAGTATGCCGAGAAGAATAGAAGCTGTTATACCCAATAATGGGTGGCCAACAAAGTATTGACTTGTGCGTTTTTTTTTTTTTTAGAAGTGGTATAAATAAATACTTGCAAATAAAATCAAATTTTCCGAAAAATTATTTTTGGTCGAACTTTTTATTTTTTTAATATTAACTGTTATTCTCCCAAACATTACAAAAATTTGAAATTTTGCATACATATTCTTGAGAACTTTTTTAGTCACAATTTGATGAAATTTATTTGTGTTTTATTATGTACGTTTTTACGTAATTAATTGTTTTGTGGTGACCGAAACTTTTGTCCAAGGAGTGTATATGGCCCGAATGGCCAGCAATTTGATTCGATTTTTTGGCTTCCACTAATTACACTGCCAGTGGAAGATATGGTCTTAATGAAGCACGTAGATAAAAAAATGGATGTATGTTTTTTTTTTGACGAAAGAATATTATGAATTTGATCAATTAACATTCCTTCATTTTATATTCATTTTTATTACTCGAATTTAGAAGGCAT